TGGCATAACACTTTGCCAAATTAGTATATGAAGTAAGTTGGTTAGCTACGAATACGCGATAAGGAAAAAATGTCCGTAAGTTAGTTAAAAATGCTACAAACGCAACAAAGTTACTGAACATAAGCCGAAATAATGTAAGCAACATGGCCAGTAAATAGAAGAGTATTCACGTAGGCAGAACAAACCAAATAAAGTGGAATGAAATTTAGCCAGCTTAAAAAGACCTAGTTTAAGTGTAAGTTGGTTTATCCCAACTGCGGTGAAGAAGCACCAAGAATGCAACATCAGCCTCAGCATGGGGCATATATATATATATATATATATATATATATATATATATATATATATATATATATATATATATATATATAGCGGGCAATTAAAAGCGGCACAAGATTCAGCAATGCGAGAGGTAATCATCTCGCTGATGCGATGACTAGAAATAGTATAGGTATCCAGAAAGGCAAGTCAGGCGATTACTTGGAGTGGAAGTTTGGTGATTGTGAGATCTTGTAGTGTCGGTCCAATCATGTGAGAGCAGTTTGTGCTCTTAAGGAGCATAGGGCGGTGTAGGGCAGGTGAGTTCGACCAAAGTTGTCATTAAACTGCAAATTTTTACAGCCGATCACTTAAAAAACCTCTGCTACAGAAAAACGGGAAAAGGACCTGAGCCACTGACGATTACCTCGATCACAAAGTTAAAAGACATAAGAGGGACATGGTATTCCTGATGTACTACATTTGTCGCGACGAAGTCATGGGAGAGTCTGCCGTAGACACATTTACGTAGTAGTGGATGAGGTTTAGAGTGGGGATGAAGTTCACCGACACATCAAAGGTACTACACTGCGGCTGACTGAGTGAAAATCTGCCTCCAAGACAGGGGTGTGTGTCGTTCGGGTAACCCCGCACAACGACTATGGACAAATAACCGAATGAGTAAAACTGTTAATTATGTGAGGTCCATCGCAGCCAGTTTCCAAATCAGATAGTCGTCCACATGCCCGGAAAAGCACTAGACTGCAGTTTCAGCCTGTTGGGCATCGTCTGTAGTGCGCATCCAACGGATCCCTTAGGATTCGAACCCAAGACCACCAGCGGCTTGAACCGCCAGTCAGCAGCTTATGCCACTGGGCCACGGGGGACAGCTTCGGACCGTCACGATTTACAAGTTAACTGCGAAATAGCGCGTCTTATCCTCCACTGCCATGCAAGTTACGAACGTTGCAGAGGACAGGATTGGCCCCGAAAGACATGACGTTCACTAACAGTAGCTATGTACGACATAGCCGCTGGTGGTCATGGGTTCGAATCCTAAGGGATCCGTTGGATGCGTACTACTGACGATGCCCAACAGGCTGAAACTGCAGTCTAGTGCTTTTCCGGGCATGTGGACGACTATCTGATTTGGAAACTGGCTGCGATGGACCTCACATAATTACATCAAAATCCCCTATTCATGAGTAAATGGGAAAACTGTTAATTGTTTTACATTTTGGGGTAAAACGGTTGCGGCCTCTATCATCTACTAGCGGCTCAAGTGTCAATAGAGACAGGGGACAAGTAACCTATGAAACAGTGAACAGACTGCAAGCGTAGAAAAACCAATACATCTAGCGGGAGGAACAATTCGGTAAGGTTGGAGTCAACCACTTGTGTCCATGCGCAGGCGGGGACAAACCAGTTGACGGTGCAAACATACTGACAGAAGTAAGAAATGAGCAGTGAGGAGATGCGAACACGAATGGCAGCGAGAAACCACGTCCTGGTAACTGGCAATCTAGAGTGGTTAATTAGAGTTTGGTTAACAGAGATGACATGACCAAGAACGATAAGCGCAAGACGACGCAGCGGAGAACACAGAGGTAAGGTCACTATGGGAGCGAGGGTGGAAGTACTACCAAGTAACGGCCCATCTAATTGGTCCTGCATGCAAGCGATTGTCCGACAGCAACGATCGAGGTGCGCACCAGCACACTATATATGGGGACCGAAGAGAAGTTGTGTGTGCACAAGTGTGTCAGCTCAGTAAAATGTTTGAAAGACAGTGGAAAAGGAAGCCGAATGGCCACCGCTTATTGACCGAGCGAGGTGTCACGTGCGTATGTGTGCAGAGTGCTGTAACCAAGTGGGGTGCTACGGAGGTGTATGCAACGGCTAGGAAATATGGCACCAGAAGACCGACAGACCTACCCACCCTCATTTAACAACCGGAGGAAAAACTACACAATTTGGGTGAAACTGAGAGTCCAATGCTCGATTTGACAGACAAAGCTACCAATGATCATTGATTGAGACGGGAAGACGCAGATTGCAAAAACAATACCAGCAAGAAGTGTAGAGGCTGAATCGTAATGATAATGACAGCAATAATAATAAGTATTTGCGTAAGTGAGAGAACATGATGGGTTGCCGAATAAGAAAAGTCTGGTGCACGGAGTTAAGGCGGGAAACCAGCAAGAATTGTGTGTTCGCTATTCCACTAGAGGGAAGAGTCGAACTCGGGATCGGTGGCAGTGTGGTTGACTTCAGAGCGGTGATACTCAAGTTGTGGTGAAAAGACCAACCTACAGATTTGTTTACTACAGACACAAGCAGAACACTCTGGATAAGGTAACACAGTCACAGATGGTATCAGCAGCACTCTTCATTTCAGCGAGATAGCAAGCGAAGGCAAGATAAGTCTACTTTAGCTACCACTATCATTGTCAGAGTTTCGACATGACCTGAAGAAGCTGAATTTAGGGTAGAACAGCGAAATGCATACAAAGCAGGATAATCGCTTAAGGACTCCAACGGAAACGCGCATAGCCCTTGCACGCAAGATGACTGAATATATGTAAAGGACCATGTATCAACAGTGATCTACTCTTCGGCTAGTTCGCCCTCACATGTGGTTTATCAGTCCATCTGCAGTTGCAGTGACGTGTACATAAGCAGGACTAACCGTCGGTTGGCTCAGAGGGTGGCTGAACACTTGCCAAAGTGGGTGGAACAGATGATGATGCAACAAACTGGAGCGCTCCTCAGAATGAACAGGATTCCGTCATCATCTATCATCAAGCACCTCGTGACAACTGGTCACAATGTGAATCCGAAGACTGCGTTCAAAGTGCAATTACGTAATCGGAACCCGATAATGTTGGCAATCAGTGAAGCGTTGCTAATTAGGGCCTATCAACCTTGAGGCAATCAATTAGGTTGCATTGGTCTTGATTTTGACGTTTTGATTAGTGTGCCAATTTTTCCCATGTATATATTTGTGCATGTGTTTTCGCTTGTATTGTGTATGCGACTGAGGAGAACAATCGAAATGTTGACATATCGCAACCTATGGCTTCTTTCTGCTTTGAGCAAGTGATCTGAAAGATATGAACCGCTTGATGAAAGTATAGGATAAGATGGAATTAAGTGTAAGGATGGATAGCGGAGAACCCAGAGTTTAGCGGACCTAACCCAGTGACCTCAGCCATGTAAGCTGACTTCCGTATGGTTCGTTGTGTTATGCAGTCTGGACGTAAACGTTTCGTCACCAGTCAAGGTGACATCATCAGTGTCTCGAGGAATAACCTCCCTTATCGTATTCCTGCAAAGGACAAGACCTCTGTTATCTTCCAGTCGAAATTGTGTCCTTTTTCATCGAACTGTGCTGAGACTAGTAAGTTTGCGTAATCTTTTTCGTAAGCCTTTTGTGTTCCTGTCTCATTGCAGATGATCACTTTCCCGTTTGTCTTATATAGTGTTTAACATAAATTTTATTGATGTTGTACATAAGATTTCGCCGTTACTAAGCTTCTCGTTTTCTTTTCGGTTCTGATTGCATCCTTCTCAGTGGTGATTCGCTTGTGGGCTACCGTGATGTGGTGTTGTTAAAAAACACGTTATCATATGTATATGGAATGGAGAAGTGAAGCAACATCCACACTCGGGGTTCACTTCCACTAGTTTATGATATGAAATCGCCAGCTCTTCCGCAATGATGGTGTCATCTCGACTGGAGACGAAACGTTTGCAACCCAAGCGCTAAGCTCCGCGAACATCGCAACAAATGAACACCCAACACGGGCTACCAGTATTTGGTCTAATCTCGAAACTACCACCGTTGACAATTGGCCTGTCGAGCGTGATAACATCATGCGGCCCGAATGATGATGCCAAGTCCAACTGAAATGCTTGTACAACTAGACTAGTACTGCTTACACAGAAATTCGTGTTAACTGGCTCAAATAGAAGTACATTCGAAAAGAAAATTGGTAACAGAAAAGGGTTCAAAGTTGGTGGTGCCTTTCTGGTATTCACAACTGTCATGAAGGAGAACAACGCAAACGGAACAAATGGGTGAAATATAGAAAAACAAGCACTTAGAAACAAAGAAGCAGCATTTCTGACCAATTATCATTCAATATTATGCTATTCTTAGAAACACAAGACAATTCTCAGAAGGAGGTGAAAGAATGCGCTGTGCTGCACGTGATGTGAGCAAACAGTGCAGTGTACTTTTTGCCTTACATTCGCTAGTCTTGATCAGGTAACGGTCAGTGCAACTTTAAGGAAGCATGTTGGCAAAATTGGGAAGCGAAATGGCTACCAAATACAAAATCGCTGGGATATCAAACTGTATAGGACTTTTATACGTTTCAGATACGGTCTGAAATACGGCACTGGCAGTGGTTCTCTTCAGGGTAAATGGCAATCAAAACTGAGATCACATGTTGTAATCTATTAAACTAACGAGTGTTTTACATGAATCCCAAAGTGGTTAGGGTTTGTTCTTCCAGTGTGATGGTATTAAAACGGCGGTAAGACTGTTGCTGTTATAGCATGCTCTTATATCAAGCTTGAAACAATGGAGCAGTAAATCATAAAGCGAATGACTGTAGAGTGGTGTATGTAGCGACAGTTTAACGGTGAACGTAGAAGTAAAATACAAGAGTGAAACCATCGGGTGTTAATGGCAATCGTTGCTACATTTTCTACTCAAAAAGGTAGCTGGCACCCACCAAAACAGGATCAGAATCCTTTCCAGCTATCCACTCGTCAACAGTCAGCGCCGGAACATCCCCAATGGTGTCTGGATATAGATCGTCTTGAAAAAGTTCCGATTTTCTGGGGACCGTAAAAGAAATCACTTCACACAGACCCTTGGTGTGCAACTTGTAGAAACGGGCGATTTCACACTGGTTCACGTCCAGACCTCGTTTCGGCATCCAGCCCATACCACGCTGAGGATCAGAGCTGGTGAGCATGTTGATGAAGTGGACATACGGCTCTTCATCAGTGATCTCGAAATAACGTATAGTACTGTCACCCTGAAATAGTCGAAAGAAAAATCAGATGAACGAAGTTAACTGAGAGTGCGGCATTTTAAGAGAAGATACCTTGATAAAAATTCTCAGTGGATAAGCAGAAATATTACGAAAAGCAAACAGAACGCAGAGGGATGGACCACACTAGACTGGTGATTAGGAGACAAATTCAACTCACATGGAGTGCCAACTGCAAGGTTCAAATTTCATTGCCATAAGAGGCCTAGACAATTAGTACACCTGGTAGGCTGAAATCCCATAACGAAAAGTATTGACTCGATAACATAGCAGTTTCCGGAAAGCCGTGAGGCGATTGGAGTGAGGGAGGAGACACAGCGGAGGTAAGGGACAAGACAATTTTAACAAAGAGCTGCCCATCGGAGAGATAAGGAAAGCCAGTGAGTAAGACCGGGTGGTAAAACGATGCCGGCAACAGAGAATGCAAATAGGAAAAGCAGGATGGCCAGGAGTGGTGTCGGTATATCAGTGGGAAAGAAAATCAGTGTCATCAACGAGGACAGGAAGGTTGAGTAGATGCAGTGGAAGAGCAAGTTGAAGCGTATTGACAAGATCATGGAAAGTGAGATGGATAATAAGATAGTCGAAAATGGAAAAAGCAATAAGTTCACAAGGAGCTAACCGATGGGTTCACTGGGATAGACTAATGTGTCAAAACTGCAGTATCATGACCAATCACCCTAACGTTCTGAACAAAATAATAATGGTAGATGACATATTCATAGCGTGCAGACGGCACGGACCTAGCGGGATGGAACATTTCCTGCAGGAACCTTGCTGAATAGTTCAATGGAGATTCAGAAAGATTTCAATCTAAGTGAAAGCAGGAGACTGGTACCTGTCAGAGCTAGTATATCTGAGGTGAGTTGCTCAGCGGATGCTTGGTGTTGAAAAGTCTGCATTGAAGAAAAGCAAAATGTTGCAAACCGCATGAAGTTGTAGATTAAGTAAATGTCCTGCATAACAATGTCCGTCAGAGAAGCCAATAATAGATAACTGGGATGATTCCTCGATAAAGGAGGCAGAACCAACTGGAAGATCCCATCAGACGAAAACCGGTGAAAACCAAATATTTGAACAGAAGCCTATGAAGCTTTAGCAGCAATAAATAGTGCCGCTGCTACTGAAACCAAACTGTTGCTACCGTGTGTAGGTATGCAAAATAACACTTGAAAGAATATAGGCAGTATATCAGGAAGCACCCAGATCTCAGAAAGTAGGTTTATCGGCTTAATCAATGGACAAAACAAATGGGTCGTGATTATTGTAAGCCCCGTTTCCTGTGCACGTGCGACATTCGCAGTAAGATAAATATAATTATAAAATGATCACGTTAAAACGATTTAAAACTCGGTGTTTTGCAGAAAATGTATGATACTGACATCGCTCACTTGACCCGCTTGGAGACAAATTAGTTGGCGTACCTGCCTATTGGTAAAATTATGAATGTAGCATAAAGAAATTAGAAGATTGGTGGGAGAACTAAGAGTGGGAACAGTGAGGCGCCAAAACCCGACCAGTATATTCCCGATTCAGTAACCACCCTCAGTTCCGAGATATCTGATTGAAAATTGAGTAACAAAAAGGCCACGTTAACGATAACGCGTATTCTGACAGGGATACGACAGCGATCAACTGTGGCGATCGTGCCGATTACCGATGGAGGGAGATTCAGATGTTGCGAAGGCCTCTGCATCGCCAGAGGATTGATAATCAAGCGCATTGGAAAGCTTAGTAGGTCGTTCAAGAAGAACGGGAATGAAAAAAGCATCTGGAACATAAAGAATGATGGCCCTCAATAACAAGCTCAAAGAACAGAAAAGCAACCAAAGGAGATATTGCGGTGTGGTATGCAGGACAGTCCCGTCGTACTAAATAGAAAAGCCGTTAACAAAAATTACGAATGCAAGTGTACAGCCGGACCTAATAACCAATTCGTCGATCAATAAGATTCAACCATTTACTAGACTGACGTCAAGATTCGTTTAGGCGCACAAAATGCTTTAAGTGAACATCGCTACAAACGGGTGCTGGAGTTGTTTGAAGGAATAAGTTTCGAAATATATATATATATATATATATTTATATATATATATCCAGCACCTTACCAATAACAATACAACTGGTTGGGCGCCACAACACATAAGAAGAAAAAAACAGATTGAAAAGGAAAACAACTGTTAGGGTAGAAGAGCCTCAGAGCAAGTGCGCTAATGCGTACGGTCCTTGGCCATATCCTCTAGCGATTGCAATCAGATGTGCTCGGGGTCCTTTAGTCCCCAACCCGGGAGTCGAAAACGCACAACAACAGCCTGCTTCGACGTATGCGTCTTAACGCATTGGATCCAAGTTGCACATTGCTCACCTTTTAGTCGCTTCCACCCCACGCTTGTGCTCGCAAATAGGGCTCGTCGTGTTAGCCGCTGAGTAGGCATGCGGAGCACATGCCCAAGCCAGCGTAGCCTCCGCAGTGAAATGATGCGGAGTTCGTTAGATCTGAAGATTCGCCGACGGACTTCCACATTACTGATGTGATGCTGTCATCGAACGCCAGCAATGCTCCGCAGGCAGCGGTGATCGAAGACAGATAGCCGCCGAACATGGATTTTGGGAATGGGCCAAGTCTCACAGCCGTACAGCAGAATCGCTCGTACCGTAGCATTGTAGACTCATCCCTTCAGAGCGACGCTGAGGTCACGACGAAGCCACAGGTGACGAAGGTTAGCGAAAGCGACGCTAATCTTGAAGACACGCAGGGAGATCTCATCTGTCAGACCGCCAATACTAAGACAACTACCAAGATAAATGAATTTGTTGACCACTTAAGGCGGATGCTCTGAAACGCTGAGAGGACATGCACTTGGCCAGTCCTGTAAAAGGACCTTACATTTGGAAGGGTCAACCCAAATTGGGAAGCGGACATCTCCAGTCTGAGCAGCACATGTTGGGCGGCTTAGGAGGACTCGCAAATCACAGCGATGTCATCGGCGTACTCTAAGTCCCGAAGGTGGTCAACAGGGAACAGTTCAACACCGCAGGACTCAGAGGTTTTCAGCGCATTATTCAGAATCTCGACCACGGCGAAATTGAACAAGAATGGAGGCTAGGCAACCCTGTCTAGTCCCGCTACTGATATTGAAAGGGGGCAAAATGTCTCCGTATACTCGCACACTGCCCGAAATTTGATGGTAAATGACACGGAAAATGCTGATGTACTCCTCAGGTACTCCCCTCCTTAGTAAGCAGTCAAAGAGCCACCCAGTCAACAGAGCCAAATGCGGCTCAAATGTCCAAGAATATGATTATAGTTGGTCGACTGAACGTATGGCGATGTTCAGGTATCTGGCGGATGTGATCGATGTCACTGCGACCCGGGCGAAATACAGCTTGTTGTGCCCACAGGTGTTGTTTCCGTAGGCAACTGAGACTCCGCAGCAACACAAACGAGACTGATGGTTGGAGCAAGCGATCCGGTCTCCTTTTTTGTAAACAGGTACAATATTCGCTAAATTCCAGTCGGATGTAATGGTTTCAGTAGTCCAAATCTGATTGAAGAGGGATGTCAGTTCGCGAGTGAAAGCAGGATCCATGTATTTGAAGAGGATATGAGGAATTTCATTTGTGCCAGGTGACTTGTGGCGCTTCAGTAGGCGAAGCTCATAGGAAACCTCAGCCTCAGTCGGTGGAGAAACATCCACGCACCAGGGAGCACTGTGAACCCCGGAAGATTGACTCGGTTGCGCTGGTGGCCAGTTGAACTGATCTACAAAGTGCTCTGCCCATCGTACCAGACGACGAGGACGACTGTGAACTAGTTCCCCGTCATTTTTACGCAAAACCTTACTCAATGTTGGCTTTCTGCCTGCCGTGGAGCGAATAAGTTTGAAGAGTTTGCGGAGGTTTTCTGATGAGGCTGCCCGTTCCATCTCAACGACGCGCTGTGTCCACAAAACCTCGCAATACTTTCTGAGGAGTTGTCTGACCTCAGCACCTGTGGTTCTGCGTAGTGCGCTGTACTCAACTCGGGCGGGAATTCGTCGACGACTCTCCATTAAGTGGAGAGACTGTGCAGAGATCCAATGCCTAACAGCTCGTCTAGGGAAGCCACAGACCAAGGTAGCGGACTTTCGTAAGGCGCTCTGGATCTGCGCCCAGCATGTCTTTACATCGGAGGATAAAGGACGCAGGTTGGTGGCTAATGTGTTCTGAAATGCGCCGAGAAATTTGGGGCGGCGAGCTTGTCTGTGTTAAGCCGTTTCCGGAGACGCTGTTGGGTGCCTCCAAAGCGCAGAACGAACTTAGCACACACGAGCGCATGATCTGAAGTCAGTTAAATGTTCCAAATTGACTTGCAGCCCGTTATGCAGTCTTGCTAACGGTAACTAACAGCGATGTGGTCAATCTGCGTTTAAGCTTGACCAGGCGCCGGAGGTCGCCAGGTGGCTCGTTGGCGCCAGGAACTTTAGAAATTGGTGCTGGAAAGAAACAAGCCGTGGTCGGCGCACAGGTGAAGGAGTCGGTCGCCGCTGTCCTTTCTGCGAGTACCGTGGCTGTATTGACCCCAAAGTTCGCGCTCATGAACCTCTAGTCTACCGAGCTGCGCATTTAGGTCCCCAGTGAGTATCACGATGTGCGTGCGGCGCTTCTTGCGGAGGAGGTCGATGAGTTGGCGGTAGAACTCGTCGTCAGCTTCGTCCGGGCTGCAGTCCGTAAGAGCGTACTTCGCTAGAATGAATAAGCAGCGTCTACTGGTCCCGTGGTTGAAAGATCGCACTGAGCTTTCCAAGCGGACTGCACTAAGACGGCTGTAGATCGGGAACCCGTCAATCAGCGCTGCCTCAGCACGCGCGCTTAGCGCAACTCCTACACCGGCGCAACCAGAGGCTGCTGCTGTCGCATCTCCAGTTAAGCGCAAGGTGAATGTGCAATTGGAACTTAGGGATGGTGAGAGCAAGCGCAGCGTCGTGCTGGAGTCTTATAAACGGGTTTCGTTTAGGCAGCAAACGTCGAGTGAGAGAGTTTCCAAGGTGCGCGCAAGAGCAGCTTGTGAAATAACATAAAACGAACTGGTAACAAATAAAATCGCACACTTCATCGGGTTAGACGATTTGTTCGGAATAAAGCCAACATGATTGTTGCCAATCACCTTAACGAATTCGCAGCATAGCACAGCGGAAAGTGTATACAAAATGATGACAAGGAAAGAGTAAACATCGGAAAACGAAAAAAACAGGAACCCGCCATATTGATGCCGTACAGATTCACTGCAGTAGATCAGTCAGCACGGAGGTATTCATCTGAAATCGAAATATACGTTGCGCTGTGGTTCCCACAAGAAGTGTCCAAAATATTATGGTCGATTAGTTCCCATTTGTGAGACTGCTACAAAATTAATACCGCAAACTCATGATAATTCCCGATGTCGGACAATGGCAGAGTATCGTCCACTACGAGGCCTATCACCAAGTATTGATACAATTCCCTGGTCTCGTTCAAACGCCTGTGGGCTAACAGTCTCCAACACAGCTTTCAATAGTATTTTGCGCTTCCTGATTCTTTCGCATAATTGTAACCTGATGTAAACTACGGAAAATATTTCTCCGCTAATTGGACTTATATAATACTGCAAAAAGTGCAAAGAAAACGACGGTACCAGGAAATTACTCAGTGAAGATGAAACCAAAACGGAATAAGAACAGGTACTACCTTTCCGCACAGGTAAATCAGATTGGTATCGAAGTCATAGAACGGGAACAGTACGCCGTTGCTGGTGTCCAACTCCTGAATATTCAATGCCTCTTGGAGATCGGTCTAGACAAAAAAAGAGTACAATGGATTCGGAAGAAACGACACGGGATAGAAACAAAGGCGCAAAAGTAGGCCAAATTAACGTGCTCTATAGATCAATTGGACAAAAAGCACTAAAAAAATATATCCGAAGAGAGAGTAAACAATTCACAAACAGCACGTGTCAGATTGACAAAGAATATGGAAGAGGATGAGAAGTGCGTTGCCCATCAGGCAAAAGCCAGAATTGCGTGATCGGAAAGACGCTGTGGCGATAGAGAAGGGATTTCTGCTTAGGGCGATTCCATGGAATATACACGAAGTAAAAGAGAAGCATATGTGCCAACGCCCTGCAAGAATAAAATACGTTTGGGTGGATGAAATGGATAGCTGATTCAATACGAATCAAATTTTAGGGTAAAAAAGACTAGATATATGACGGGGTTTTAGTTCGTTCCTAACCGTGGTGTGTAGGAAGCCACAGATTGAGGTGCATAGATCTGTTCGGTGAAAATATCGGACACGGTTCCAGTACCGAAGTGCGCTGCACCGACTTGTCGAGTGTCACGTTGTCGTGATGACAAAACCCAAGCAAGGTTGGAAAAACAGAAAACAAAACGAAACAGGGGGTACGAAAAAGAGAACTGCGAAAAATAACCATGACGCGTGAAATAAAGTCAAAAGAAGTGGAAGCATTCATCAGTCGTGGGAGAATTAAAGGAAACGCAATGGATAAGTAAAAGCAGAATAGGTTTTATGCATAAGATTGGACACATTTTCATCGAGAAAGATCAGAATAGCAAAAAACGGTAGCATCATAGCAGTCTGATACGAAAGAAGCGTAGCTTAGCGTCTTGAGTAAAAAGGTAACAGACAAATGGCATAAACTGAAAGGGTTGATGAAGAATGCGACAGCAGTAACAGGCCGAATACTAGTGCGGTGTAGACAGGGTGTTTTACAGTCCTGAATCCTGTCTGGGGGGAACGGATCGCGACGGATTTGACGTGGCTAGCAAGGTTAGAGTATACCAAACCCAGTGGGCCAAAAACTGTTCTCAAGTGCATCTGTGGGGCAGATTGCGTGAGGTCAGTCACTTGCGGCCCTGCGACAATGAGAGGATGTCGAGACAGACCCTGGGCAGGTGGCACAGAGCAAAAACGTACCACTGGCGCATCAATCAAAACTACTTCAAATAAGACTCAATTTGGACAAAATGGACAGGGTTTGTCAGTTAACTCACAAACACAGTAAGTAAAAAATCGATAGGGTGAGAAGTCGAAAGCGCGATGAGCCCAAGGACAAGTAAATTAAAGTGAACGCAAATGCGTGAAATACACCATCGGAATCCGCGGTGTCACAAAAACGAACTAAGAAACAATGAAAGCGGAAATCATCGTGGAGATAGCCCTCCAGGAAAATGTACAAAGCTGAAAACAGACATTCTGTACGGAAACAATCCAACAGATGCAAGAACGACGAAACACTTAACAAGTCAGTTCGGTCAACATTGAGGAAGGTGTGAAACATCATTTTACGCAACATAGTGATAACGCAGCCTTTCTGGGGCAATTAGACTACAAACGGTGCATGTTTCACAGGTAACTAGACACTGGTACAGAGAAGAGGTGCAAACCTAGAATGCTTGGCGTTTCGGCTCCGTACCTCCAGGCACCAGAGCGATTAGTAAAGCTAGCTAAGTTTAAGATCAATCTTAGGGTTCCAAAATTAAGCATCATTAGCTGATTTTATTGTAGATGCCCCTGAACCTCATGTAATTATTTGAATCAGTGAATGACTGACACGTGAGTAGATGAAAACACAGTACGTGTTTAATTTTTTTAAACACGCATCTCCTGGATCAGGTAATCATTGGGAACAAATATGCCACGACGTCATTGCAGAGCAAGTCGCCAAAAAACTCCGCAAACGAACAGTTAACATCGTTCTCGAACCAAGAATTCCAACAGCGACCCCATTCATCAAGCCAGATATACTCGCAGTAAAGGGATCATCGGTGAACGTCATGGATGTTGGAATTTGTGACGCCGACCGGATGGCGTGTACGCACCAGCTCAAGGTCAACAAATATGGCTCCGGAAATAACGCATCAGTGATCTGGAATTATATAAGCGCACCATTCACCGAAAGACGCGAGATTTACCACCATCCAAATATCTTAAACAATCGGGGATTTATATATCCGGCTTTGGCGAAATATTTAACAACCCTCGGCTTCACCAAACTCGACATCTCGGATATCTGCTTCTCAGCCCTCCGATTATCACTGATGGTATATGATACATATATGAGGGGAGCTTCCTCCCAGTCCTCCTGATATTTCATACGTTCAGTGTCGGATTACACAAGCACACGGTGACGACGGAAGCGGTTCCGCCCAAAAGTTTCGAAGTCTACTTAAAACCAATGATTATTATTATGCCGGGGTATTCGCCTCTTCTCAGCAAATTGTTGTAAATCTCCACTCGGGAGTCATGCATGCAATTTACCGAAAATATAATGTTCTAGGGAGACTGGTGATGAAAATTAGTTCCAGAGCGAATTGGCCTAAACGTCTACCAACTGTCGACAAGGAATGTTATAACAGTCCCGAAGTTCTGCACCAGCATATGACGCGTGTCAGCGCTATGAACCCAGTTGCTTTTCATCGTCAGTAACCTCACTATTGAACGAAAACTCCTTAGATTTCATTAAACTTCTAACTTACAAAAGTTTTGCTTGTTAAGGTGCTGATGCATGGAGACTGTCGCAGATGAAGTCCAGGTAGTATGTAATACCAAAGTTAAGACCCTTCGAGAGACTGCATCCAACATGGAATAGTTATGCAATGTTTTGTTCAGTACGTAAAAAGTAACATTATTTGAAAGTTAATATTGTCATGTGATATTCGGACCGGACTCAATGGGGACGCTCATGAATTGACAAAGGTCGAAAAGTTTGAGAACAATAGGTAAGGAAAGAAATTTTTAATGAGATTTAGTAATAGTCAGGCTCTCGCTAGTCCTGTATTGCAACCGTAGTTTATTCCACAGATGCCTGACGAACCATGGACTGACAATTACAACCATTCACAAGCTACCTTGCTGCTACGAGGCTATTCACTTATGCTACTATGCCAACTTCACAAGCACACGCCACCCTTACCTCGTACCATTCCCACTAATTTTTACCTGATTCTTTCACGACGATCAGCCCCACCTACACCGATGAACCTGTTTCCGTGACATCTTCTAACTCAAGCACACAGTGCTAAACAGAGAGCTGCCAGCCCCGAAGTCTACCATCTTCGCTCCTGCAACGCGGAACGCAGTCCAAAATTGCAGTCTTCAACGTACGCACACTAGTGCAGATCGGTCAACAACCTGGACTTGCACGCACGCTAGAAACTATTGGAATTGATGTCTGCTGCCTGAGGGAAACGCGACTCCAGGACTCCAACTCGGTCTACCAGCTGGCGTCACCGCTCCACCCACGAAACCGTTTCCATCTCCGCCTCTCTAGTGACACCGAGCCTGTCGCATCTGGGAAAACTGGAGTTGGAATCGCTCTCAGTGCTAGAGCCAAGGCTGCTCTGATTGATTGGATTCCGATCAACAGTTGCCTTTGTGAGATGTGGCTCTTGTAAAGTTAGCAGACGTCGAGTCGAAAATCGTGCTCTCTGTTTATGCGCCCGACGGTAGCTCGGACACAGGCAAGGACCAGTTCTAACAGAAGCTTTATGAACAGCTCCAAAGGGCTCCTAAAACAGACATAATTGTTTTGGCAGGAGAATTCAACGCGCATGTCGGTTGGCTGCTGGCATGTCAGTGCCACCTCGGGGGACAGCATGGATATAGATGTTCGCTCAGACAACGGAGAGACTGCAAAGTCTGCGTGCTGATCATCATGTGTTCCTCTACAGCACGAGTTTTCGTCATCCTGGACGCCAGTACGCCACTTGGCGCCCCCACCATCAACCCAGCACTGGTCACAGATTGCTCACATAGCCATAACTCGCAGATGGCGAGGCAGCGTACGCGACTGCAGATCAAGTTGGACAACATGCGTCGATAACGCTCACGCACTGATATGTGCAACCGTCTGCATGCGTTTCTGTGGTCCTCCTAGGTCCAAACACACCTGACTGAACACCTACAAGTTGGAGGACCCAACGGTGAAGAAGGAGTATCAACAAAGGCTTTGTGCAAATCTCGCTCTCTCCCACTCTGAATGTTGATCAACGCCGGTCAAACGTGCAACAAGCCATGCTGTCGGCCGGTTTGTCCAGCTGCGGCCTCACTCGCTCCACTCCCAAAAGATGAATCTCAAGAAGATCCTTAGAATTGCTAGGTCGTCGACGGGCGGTACCTGCTGGAGCAGAGAACAGCGAAAGCCGCAACAGCTGAAAGCAAGCCTTCGTTCTGATCGTGAACCCTGGTGGTCAAAACGAGCGGATGAAATTGTAGCCGCTACATCAGGTGGCAACTTCCTCCGTTCATTTCGCATTATCATGGCCGGTTGAAATTCCCACGCCATCAGCCAGACAATTAGCGAATAAGACGGCACGAAGATCACGGACCTTCACAGGCGATTGGGTCGCTGGATAGAGCATTTCGCTCTTCAATTCAACCGCCCAACACAGCCCCCCGTGGCACCTCCAGCCCCCAACGGATGATGCTGGGCCTGTCTCCACAGGCCCCCCAACTGAATCAGAGATCCGAGATGCAATCCAATCCAAAGCGCCACAAAGCTTTTGGTTCCGATAGCCTACCAGCAGCTCTATTCAAAGATGGGAACGTACTTGTCAGAGAAATACTATCGTTGTTCACGAAAGTTTGGACTGAGGAGAAAGTTCCGAACTCATGGGAGAATCGGTCATTGTTCCGATTCACAAGAAAGGCTCCAGCGACGATTGCTGTAACTACCGCGGAATTTTGATCTCTGTCGCACCCAAAATCTTCGTGTTTGTCCTACTTCGCAGGCTTTCAACGACTAGAGAGGAGTTTTCCCGAGAACAAGTCGGATT